AATATCAGACGACTACACATAACCTGTGACTGGGAATAATTACTATTTAGCTAATAGTTCAAATCCTTATATACATTTTTAACCGAATTAAAATCACAACAGGAAGATAACTGAATAACTCGTACTGGTTGCCTCAATGTTAGAATAAGTTGTTCAATAAGATTAATCCAACCAAGTAGCAGTACGGATCAAAATCTGTAGCAGAACCACTTCAACCTCATCGGCCAGCAACCTGAAATATTGATTTCTAACTTCGTAGTCATTCTATATCACGTAGGTGCTTAATCGTCTTAGGTACCATAAAGAAAGAGTAGGTTCATACCTATATCTAAGTACACTTGCTTTTGTGTACAAATTTATTTTTCATGGAATAATAGTTGAATTTCAAATAAACGGTAATTTAAATGAGCCCACCACTGATTCGCCAATAATGCATTGTATACAACCAGTTGTATGATTAGTAATGTCATAATCAATAAAAATAACTGATTTACTGAACCACACACTCGACCCTTCTCTAATGAAACAAACAATCTCTAATTGTATTTGTAAACTAGTCAAATCAAATAGACTAGAATAATTTATTCTAATTGCATAATACAGACAAAAGAAGATGAACAGCATTAGTGTGCACTTCTTCAAAGTCATATTGAATATACGTGTAAGTTGGTGCATAAATTATTTCTAGATTAAAAAACATTGATCCTTTATCTCCATGGTTGCCTGATTTTAGTAGGCAACTGTTTTTAAATGATGCAAATGTAAATAGTTAATCAAGTCATAGTTTCAATTGTTCAACATACATTTGAAGCATTGATTAACGTATTAAACGAAGGTATTTGCATCAGACTTGAAGTGTTTTAAAGGTAGGTAATTTCTCAACTCGTTTCTTATGATTCTATTTACTAATTGTATCAATGTCCACTATAATTAGTCACCAGTTTCAAGATTTACTTTAAAGAATTCCATCGCACCATTTTGTTTACCACCAATTGTATATTCCAAGTTGAGTTCATGAGTCGATTAAAGCTAGACCACCATGAAAACACTGGACGGCCGTTTCGTTCTAGTATGGGACTCCCCAGCAATGCGCATCCACGATCCCGCACGCGGGACTCGGACCCAGGACATTCGGTATTGCGGGCGACCAATCGACTCATGAATTCAATACAATTCAATGCGATATCCACAAAACCCCATTCTGATAATATTCAAAGTTGTTAACAAAACGAATATTTTGTAGAATTCATTAGAGGATCTCTACTGAACTATATATTTCACTTAAAAACACTGAAACCAAAAGGCGAGATTTATTACTTTTACAGAAAAGAAGACGAACGAATAAAATTTCCACATGTTTGGGTATCAGTGGCCCCCTACAAAGTTTGATCGGAGAGAAATCGCATCTCCGAACTAGGTAAATAAAAACAAAACCACAGAGTAAACAATGCCTAGATTAGGAATAGAGCACTAGGTGCGAATGGGAAATCGATTGAAGAGGTAGTGGATCTTCATCAACTGGGGTGGTTGGGACATGTTTTACATATGTACGTATTCTAATATATATATATATATATATATATATATATATATATATATATATATATATATATATATATATATATATATATATATATATATATATATATATATATATATATATATATATACTTTCCGTCCAATCATCTGAAAGTACATTGCAGAATTTGGACGCATAGCTAAAAACCACTGCACACGGATTAGGTGACTATAATGATAATTTCATTTTCATTAAGGACTCTAAGTACCTGAGAGTTTTGTACCATATTTAACACTGTTTGGAGTAACATTTTTTCTCACTCGTCTTCTACCTTCTCACTTGCGACTTGGAGGGTTCTAGCGTTCGAGTGTTCAATTTGTATGCGGTATATCAAGAATCTAAGCTCTAGATATAACAGTTTGAAAAACTAACTCTAAATATAACAACTGAAGACGGGGTCAACTTATCAAAATGTTATTTACTTCTGACCAAATTGAAGTTTTTCTGGAGCGTCAAGAGATACTTTACATGCTGTTGCAAATTCGTATGCTATAAACTCTAATCCATCAAATAAAACTAAATTTAATGAGCATTACAGATGGTTCATTCAAATCCTTTGTCCATCATATCATTCGTTCAATCCACGAATTTCATTTGATGGTTTGTGCGGTGTTACGTCGGAATCCTGGTTCAAGAAATATGAAGATTCATTCACGGTTGAACTGGAAACGCTTGATGATGCTGCGAATGTGAGGATACCACTACGCAAACGTGGACCAACTGGACATGAACGCTACACCAATTCATTCTCCCCAAGTATCCCAAAGTTCTTTCATCTGATACAACGGTCGTAATTTTGTCGCAAAGTTTTGGTGAGCACTCATCTTTGTTCAAAATTCGTTACCAATGTGTTAAGTTAGCAAAATCTGGCGACGATGACTGTGTGCAACATGCTTCCATATTAAATCACGAGTATGAGCGTCCTAAGTTATCGGCTGTGACGGAAGACCAGTTTAATGTCTCGTGTTTGTATGCAATCTCCAATCTTTTGAAGATGTTGATATCAGAACCAGAATTTGGAGTAAAATTGAAGTATCCGAACATTACGCTACAAGAAATAACCACGGAGATGGCTAGACTTGAAACATGACACCTCTATGGTTGAATATAATGGGCGGCTGCCATACGTCCATGTCGTAAACGAAAAGAAAGATTCTGGCTCACAAAAATTATCGCGGACAGATAAACAGCCCTGATCTCCATGCTGGTCATATGTAATATGTAATAAATATGTAATCATCAAGGTTGATGGCCACCATGTCCGCCTGCTGCTCGACACTGCCCTGACATCACACTCATTAGCCGAAGAACCTGGAAGCATCTTGGAAAGCCGTGTTACAAAGACACTATCACATGTTTACAGGTTTGGAAGAATGTGCGATAGCTAAAGCATTACGAACCCTCAGACCTGGAGCTACTCTCGTTTATCGACCTAAAAGACCTGTACCTTATGTTGCTCTCTCTGTAGTTGAACAGGAACTAGAACGGTTCCAGAAAATGTGTGTTATTTCACTTATTTGTATTTTCTTCACGAATCGTTTCTTTGACATATAATCTTTCCCATTAGCACTGGATCTTTTGCTATCTCTAATATTCTGGGATTTGGTCTGAAGATTTTATCTTTCTTTGATAATGGGTTATATCAACTTGAATCGACGTATATGCCTACAGTTCTACGTTGTGACTGTCTATCGCTAAATGGTGATTCGGACGCTATGTATGTTATTTTCTTGATCTGTCTACCCAATAGTATACAGAAGATAATTTGTATGTATCTAGATTAAGTCCTTAAACGATATGTTTGCTTGTTTATCTTTAAGGCTAAAAGATGTGAGTTCATAGTGAGACTAACTGCTCTGGATAGAGAGACGAAATCTACTCTATCACCTTACTGTTTGACAAACGCGCAGGAGAGAGAAGACGAATCAACTGGATCACTTCTCCATTTTTTCCCGATTCCCCCCTTCCGATTGAGAGTAGTGCTAAAAGATACATGAATAAATAGATGACCAACATAACCAAAACACTCAATCAATTAGGAAAATACAGTTATGTTCAAAACAGGGCATGAGGGTAGAAAACATGAGTACCAAAGGTCGCGTTTAAATTACATTAGCCCTGTAACAGTGGAGGATATTACAGTTTAGCATACATCAAACGAAAGCTTATGGTTTGTAGAATAAACTAGGGACAAAACATAAATGTTAAAATTTTACAAGCTTTGAATTAAGTAGAATAACGTCCTCAAAACTAGCTTCCGTTGTTTGTCGTGGCTTCTTTGTTTCTCTGTTAGCATCAGTATTCGGTTGTCAAACAAAAACATTGCTAGACGATTTGCATGAATCAAATACTACGTTTTCAATTAGATAAACGTCCCAAAATAATATAAAAAACGAATGATTTGTGTGATTTCGGAAATTCAGAACGAAGAGGATGATATACCACTGTGTCTAGTAGAATATTCAGCCAAAATATTAAAATAGAAGTATTATGGTAAAAGTTTTTGATAAAGCTGTATATTTTCTCATTGTTGCTTATATTTACGGCATTTGACCGGTGGACAACTTTATCTAAGGATAAGTGAAGTGAATAATTTGTTTAATCTTTTATTATTAATCCGAACATCCCAGCTATTTAGATGCTTCAATAAAGCTGACTACTTTTTAATAATAAGCAGTGTTGCTTGAAGCAAAAAGGCAGTTTTTTACATAGCATTGATGTGTAACGATTTATCTGGCTTTTAATCAATTTGTTGGAAAATACAAATTTCATTATTCAGAGAAATATTACCCTATGTCAAGCATATCGTTGCTGAGAATTTCCTGGGCCAACAGACACTGTTACAGAACATAAGAATTACTAAACGAGGTAAAGATATTTATTACAATCCCAAAAATTCAAAGTGTGTTATTTAGCAAGAAAATATCAATCAATATCTATTGTTATCGCATAGACCCAAATACAGACTTGATCACGGAAGTTCCAAATTTTTTGTCCAGATAAATTTTAGAAATTGGTTTTACTGTATTCACCAGATCGTATATTGACGGGACCAATCACATTATTTAGCTGGATCCATGATATCACTGAAGGTACAGTTTAGTAATGCTGAGAAGAAGACTATCATCACCAATAATTCAGGTTGTTGTTGTTCTATGTCGTGAACTGATTGAATTTCAAAATAAGAATCTCTAAGTCCCGAATCAGTGGTCTAAAAGTAACACTTGTGTGCATGCTACTTAGGGATCTCACACTACCTACAAAACAGTTATCCAATCCTTTCTGCTTTTAATAATACTTTAACTTATGTTAATCTATGATGAACATCACATAATATGTAAGCAATTACTTATATATAATTGAATCTAAAATATTGACATTTATCTATGTCGTTTTCTCATTTGATTTTTTTGTACAAAAGCTCCTAATCCACCTGTTAACGTTACGTTTATTGAAACTGGGTCGACACAGCTCCGTGTTGTATGGATGCCTCCTGTGGAGAATTCAGCTTTCAACATCACTTGTTACTTGGTATATATCCGTCCAACGTTTACTGTATTTGGTCATTTTCAAAAATTCAATATTTGTCATTCTAACGTGTGTGACATCAAATCGTTATTACCGGGAGTAAACTATACAGCTTATGTTGAATCGTTTGATTTAACATACGGAATTCGAAGTTTGCCTTCAAATTATATTACCGCTGTAACCTACCCTGATAGTAAGTTGTCATTTAGGCCATAATACAGATATTTTATTGTTTTAATATACATTTGTTTTATCCTAGAAAAGTAGGTCTGTTGATAAATAAAGTTTAGTTTAAAGACTAAGTAAGCTCTGTGTCATCATTTTTACTCAAGAATAGCAAAATGTATATTTGCACCATCCTGTTGAAAAAATGCGTTACCAACTGCATCCATGCAATGATTCAGTGACCTAGTCTTCAAACTTGCAAATCCGAAATCGGTTCCCCCTAACTCGCTTTAGACAACTGATTAGTGTTATTTACCCCCATGCCAAACAGTGTACATTAGGTTGTACTTGATTACTGAGTGACATTTCACAAATATAAATGGAATAAGTTAAAAATTTACCTGTTGACCTATATGAGTCATAAGAGCATAAAAAAAAACAAGGCATTATTTACTATCGAAAACACTATTACCATAACTCTAAAATAACTGATAGTTCAGTAAATCGTGATTTCGATAAAGCAATTTTTATTGAATAGTTTTTTTAGTTCTTAAAAACGTTTAACATAAACGTTTCGAAAACCAACAGTTAGACCAAATATTCGTTTAAAGAACCTATATTTTCGTATTCGCATCTGTCCAAATGAATTCCCACCGTCAAAACAGAGATGTTACTATGTCCTTGCTTAAGTGCCAATATAAGGTCATTCACCAGCACATGTTGTGATCCACTTACAATCGAATGATATTTACATCAGTGTAATTGACTATCTTATTCTGAGTGGAGCGTGAACACTATGTACTGATTAAAATGTTTGTACTCCAGTTTATTTACTAAGAAATCTTCAAAGTACATATGGCTAAACTATCTAAGATGATGTAAGATTTCCCAATATTGTAGAATGAAAATAACTTGATAAAATCCAAAAGTACGTTTTATTGCTCTAATATATATTGACAGAAATGGTTTACTTCTCCAAAACAAAGAAGAACGATGAATGTCAGAAGGGGATTTGTGGAGATTGTAGTAATTTCAATGATTAAGATCATGAGTCAGATGAAGCTAGACCACCATGGAAAACCTGGAAGCACTGGACGGCCATTTCGTCCTGTTATGGGACTCCTCAGCAGTGCGCATCCACGACCTCTCCCCCTGCGAAATTCGAACCCAGGACCTACTGGTTTCGCGCGCGAGCACTTAACCACTAGACCACTGAGCCGGCATCTAACGGTGTTAATGTCTAACTTCAACTAATCCACGAAATTGAGCGACACATCCACCATTGTCTTCAGTGAGTTACTATCCCACAACAGACCTGGTTGAACTCCACTGGTCACTACTTCTCACTAGAACTCCAGGATATACCTCTTGAAGCCAGTCACTAGTGAGCATTTGTTGATTAATGTCAGAAGGGTTTTTGTGGAGATTGTAGTAATTTCAATGATTGAGAACGATGAATAGACAGATGCTTAAGAGCAGTTTGTTACTAAACATACTCTAAGGCACAAGTGTGGTACGAATGACGGGCATTTTGTCACTATCAGATTACAACCGTAAAGAAGATATCTGAAATTGTAGAAGACTGTAAATTCCAAGTGTTTAAACCGAATAGTTAAGTACGGTAAAAAGAGATGATTAGCTCGGATTTTTATGTAATAGTGCTTCCAGTGTATTACGATGTCTAACTTCTCATTCTTTATTTAGCCTTGTATTGTTTTTCATTTTATACTATATAATTATTGACAGTTTAAAACTCATTCGAGGGTTTTGGGAAAATTGACAGTAAATCTAGGTTTTCAGACCATTACTTTCAAAGTGAATCTCAATCCTTTAGTAACTTAATACTTTTTAAGCTCCAGCTTACTTTCTTTTAATTTCCTAACTAAAAGATTGTACTATTGTAAGTTACACGCTCAAATTTACAAACTTACCATTCATCCTTATGTAATTCGTTACTAACAACGTATTTTCAATGTTAATTCTGATCTTTCCCCCTTATCAAGTGTTTACAGCCTCAACCGATCTAGGTGATATGATGTTACCACGAAGTTCAGAATTATGTGACATACTAATGAAATACATTTCAAACATGCTGATCACACAATTGTTAAGGTATTTTTAGTAGTTGAGATCATGAGTCAATTGAAGCTAGATCATTATGAAAAACGCGGAAGCACTGGACAGCCTACGGGTCCTGGGTTCGAATCTCGAGAGGTGGAATGGTGGATGCGCCCACAATAGGACGAAACAGATGTCCAGTGCTTCCGGGTTTTGTATGGTGGACTAGTTTCAATTGACACATGATCTCAACTATTAAAATTACTATAATATCCACAAAACCCCTTCTGTTTAGTTATTTGTTTACGAAAAATTAAATGTCTGCTCAGATTGTTCGAAATGTGTTGCACTGTTATCACAAAGTTTTGGCAAACATTGTTTCTTCCTTTTGGTATCTAGATTTGTGAAATAAACGGCTTTGTATTCAAATAATCTGTTAAATCCCATCATTATATTTTCATGTTATCTTGATTATTTCAAGTTGCAATATTTTACTGTGGATTGAGAAACAATGAATTGTAACATACATAATTAATCCTGTAGAATATTTAAACTAACAGATTTAAAAGTTCCTTAAAATTTTTATTGTACTGACTGAGTTAAAAGCGAATAAGAAATATAAATCATACAAACGTTTTAGACAATACATTAACATAATACTACGAAAATGTTATTCTGGTGACATTAAATTTATCGGTTGTAATACTTGTGACTTAACGGCTATATTGAGGCAGTCTGCACTAGATGCACATGTGCCAAACACAGACTAACCATTTGCGGTCCTAAACATCCATCAAATTAGTAACAATAGACACTTTTGTGAATTGGCAATATTATTTTGTTAGTGGTAAAATACTAACAATAACCTCTAATTGTATCAAATGATCACTTACTACTTGTATAACAATTGTGTGAAAACTACTTTAGAATGGAACTGTTCACATCTTGTTTCAACGAATTCTTTAGTATTGATTAAAATACTTTATTTTTTGCCATTTGAAGGACCTATTAAGCCAGAAAATGTAACAGTGACCAACATCAAACCAAATCAATTCACTATTAGATGGAACGAAATCAAACAAGATTTAACGTTCACTAACATTTGTTATTCACTTTATGTGCGACCAACTTTAAATATTAATGATAATTTTAATCGGTTCAATGTTTGCAATGGAAAAAGCGAATTTAATGTCACTTTCTTATTACCTAGAACAAATTATACGGTATATCTTAAGTCGTTTGATACTAATTATGGTATATACAGTGATGCGACGAAATCTTTTCTAATCTATACAACATATCCAGCATGTAAGTTTATCAATACTTAGTGGGTTTTCTTAATCCATTTGATAAAATGTAATCACATTTTTCCTCAGAAAACGTATTCCTTAAACAAAATTAATTTACGGCATTAGCTCATATTTTAGGGCCATGTTTTAGAAACGTTTTGTTAATTAGTAATCTTTTTATTAGTAAATTTGAAAACGTTTGATAATGCTCCACATTTCTTGAATTGATTATGATAAGTTTTCTTTGCCAACGTCCAGTGTATTATATCCGAACGAAGAATAAGAGAATGGTAACTGCTAATATCTATTTATGGACTGTTATATATATATATATATATATATATATATATATATATATATATATATATATAATTGGTTTATGTGTCACTCGTCTGATCAATAAGTCATAAAGATATAATACATTAGAAATGGGGACCGATACTTTGATAATCTAGTCATGATGGGCTTGCATTAAGAAATAACTTTAACTATAGATCATCATGATTATAAAGTGCAGCGTATTTTCTCTACAGTCATATTCCATAAAATTACAGCGAAAATCATGATGAAAATCGCTCTTAAAATGAACAAAGATCTTCAAAAATCCTTTTCATTAAATAATGGTCATTTCCACACTGATGACTACATACAAACTACACTTTCTGAAATGCCAGAAAGCCATGAACACGTAAGAGCATCTCAAAATATAGTTTTCACCCTTATTTTTTACGATGGCAATGACTTTAGAACCATCGTAAACGTTTTTATTAGTGTTTTTATGGACAATGGTAAAAATTAGAGTGATATTCGTACATAAGTTACGTATATGACTAGCAACTCCACTTAATTTGTTTATCTCTTTCCTTTGCTTTAAAACAATGATTTCTGTGTTGTAGTTACTTTTTTGTAATTAACATATCAACGTTTCAGGTATTCGACCACCAGTCAATTTAACAATTTCTGGAATTAATATTTATGGATTTACTGTACATTGGGATCATGCATTAGAAGAGCATTCATTCGATAATAACAACTATTATTATGTATTCATAAAGGCTTTACACAATCATACAAACAAACCAATGAAGTTCAATGCTGGTCAATCAGCTACAAGTTTTCATATTTTAGGTCTTTCGCCGGATACATGGTATAGTGTATCTGTACAATGCATAGATATTACATACTATAATAGCATCGAATCAGAAGAGATTTTTGTACATACATATTCCGAGAGTAAGTGATAATACTGACTGATAAATTGAAGCAGTTTTTTACTTTATTGTATACCAAAACTTTTGACAGACGTCATTAATAGTTCAAATAAAAATGAATATTTTCTCAATAATAAAAGGGATTTGTAGTTGTCAAAGATAGATGTGATCCACGTAATTATAGTACATATGTCTAGCAAAGAAATACATGTCAGTGATTGAAAGAGTACATATAAATTAAAAGTCTAGACAACTTGCAAAAATTGACTTGTCTGAAGGTGTTTTTCACTATAAAATAACAATTACATTATAAGCTAAAATTGAAGACTGGACAGTTGATTTTTATCTAACTTTGGGATATTTAGATGTAAATTCAAGACTCAAAACAAACTTGCTCTAAGTGTAGTCAACTTGCAAGCATTCAAACAGTTATTTTGGATCTGAAAAGCACAAGTGATAACAGATTCACTGTTCTGATCAAGAAGAGATCAACCATCATCCTTGTGTTAAATCATCCACTTGAAAAGAGTTGTTCTCTTCTAAATGTTCTACTTATAAGTAGTACTCAACATTTCATAAATTTTCTTCAAAAATTTTGTAGTACTTTGGTTAGCGCATTTACTGGATAGATAAATATCTTGTTCGTGATTTGACGATATTTACACTTTACACACTACTGCTTATTCCATTTACCTTTAACTATTTTGTCAAATAAATAGCTGTTGAACGTGACAGTCTCAATCAGCTGACGAGTCTGATCCTACAAGTACCACCAGAACAACAAACAACTCATATTAAACAAGACAGCATGATTATTTTGTATTTACCGTTATCTCGGTTAAATTATTTCATTTCAACAGTTTATGTGGTTTCACTTGTAATAAAGCCAACTAGGGAAAATCATGATGATGAAATTATTTGTTCTGAAGGTTGTACAAAGAAAATGCACTACAATGACATTACTGATATTTATTTAGTTGAGTCGGTAAGTCGAGTGTGATTTTTTTGATTTAGAACAACACATATAAGCGAACAATTGTTTTCAATTAGATTATCATCAGGCTTTACTCTAATATAGAGTAATATTTATACGAAAATGTTAAACCAATCAAGGCAATTTGGGTCAGTAATTACAATGAAATAGAATAAGTCATCACACATAATAGATAAAAGTACAAGTTGATAGTAGGAAGACAGGTGTACTGATAGTAGGTAAGAATAATAAAATACGATAACAAAAGTCTTATCAATAGTTAAACATTGGAAATATTAGGTCAAACATGAGTAAATGGAGTAGTCATCACAAAACATTAAAATCATTACGTAATAACAAGTGTGTAAATAATTAGATAGTGAAGAATACAAACTGAAAGAGGCGGATGTTTCCAAACAAATAATGGATGAGTAAATAAGGTTATTATTATTGTAGTACAAAGGAACAATCTTGTTCCTTTGTACTATTTAAACTTGGATTAGTTTTAATTTGGTTATTTATTCTCTGAAGAAGTGACTTACACTAAGCCACGAAACGTCAGAAAATCTAATTTTTCTACTCATTGGAATTCCACTACATGGTAATAATTATCTGTAGTAAAATCAAGTGTATATATGTGTGTATATGTGAGTGTGTAGTAGTATGTATGTGTGAGATTAATTATTGAAATTTTTCACACGATTTGCTGTTAACTGACTCATTATATCCTATGTTACAAAAATCAACATCCAAAAAATTTGATTGGTTTAACAAAGTACAGTTATGATTGTTGAAAGCTATATATTTTCTTTGATGATTTTGATTTTGATTATTACCCTGAAGAAGTCCAGACAATTTGGCTGGACGAAACGTTTGAATTATTTTAAATTTCAATCGCTGAGATTGTTTCAAATATAATTTACATATATAATGACTTCTGTATACTCGGCGCCCAATATCTGTCAAACTATTCGTTCTAATCTTGACGAATATTCGTATAAAATCTAGTTAATTTAGTATTTTTGAAAAAAGGATTAAATTCAGTTTAAGTATCTATTTCCATTAAGTTCGAGTCCTGGCTTGATCCAACTGGATTTATAGTTCAAGATATAATTTTTCCTAAGAATGAGAAGTGTAAATTATTGCTGGACAGACTTCAACCTAAGTTACTTTATTATGCGAACGCTAATCAGAATAAAAGTTCAGTATTCTAGGAGTGGTCGGGCACATATTTTGCAAAACAAAACACGTGACTTGTTAAAGAGGTTACATGGTATTCAACCCAGAAATCATTGAGGTTTGGTTTCGGAGACCTGTTTTAGCAAGAATAAATTGTGGCATACTCAGCCTCAGGTAGGCTACTGTATAAAACTTTCCTAACACCTTACCACTTATGGTAAGATTTAGGTTAAGTAAGGGTTTGCCAAAGCATGTCTATCCACATTCAGCAGTTGTAAATTTCAACTTCCATTTTGATCATCACCGCGCTACCCGACTGATCTCCATAGTGATGAAGTTTTGTATATTGTTCAGACCACAAGGAGGAAATGAATACACTTTAAGGCTCATCAATATCAAAGCAATTAAAGATATCATTTGCTGTTTTTATTTAAAAAAATTTATTCGGCGCGCTTGACGGATTTTGTACAGTTCTTCTTGTTTACTTAAATAACTACAAACACTTCGATTTTGTATTTTGTGATTCATTTCTGTACTTTGTACTGTTCAAATAATATTTACTGGATAATTGGTTGATCACGGGCCATTAAAAAATAGTTTATTTATATCTTGATTAGTTTGCGTGGTCTTTTAAATACGTTTACTGCGAGAACTATGTTGACTCTGAGTGATTGTAAAGATTTGAATTCTGTATACTAAGCCTCCGTTCCGTTTGTAATTTATGAAAAAAAGCGTATTTTTAGTTTCAGATTGTTGTAGATAACTGTCAAGAAACGAGAGGTTAAAGTTTCCTGCTAGTGGAGCCGGTTATGTTGTGGTAATGAAAGCTTTACGCTCATCACAAACTATACACATGTTTTATAAGCGTTCTTGGTGTTTTCGGAAATGAGTTAGTAATAATAACAACTGTTACATTTATTTATCTGAGCTAAATATTTGGTTTGATAGAATTGGTAAAAATATGTGATTCTACATGAGATATGAATAGAAAAAACAAATCTCATTCCTAATCAATTTTTATTGGCGTTTTTTAGCATATTACTAAGTATTTTGACAGCCTGTAGACACTAGTTTGTCATAATGTATGATAATTCTTTGGTAAATAACTAATGACGCCTAATCCTACAGCAACTTCCAATCAAAATTAATTTTAAAATTTAGTTGAAGTGTTTATGCATTGTTAAAGAAGTTTTAATTGATGCATTGTTTGTATTTAACCGCTTAATAAAAAAAGACATACAAAAGTCGTCATAATAAAGAAAATGGATCATGGGAAATACTTATACATTCACGGTTGGAATTAAGTCAGACGCGTACACGACGTTCAATGGGTTACCGAATGAATGAAAGTTATCTTTATTCCGATAAATATTTCGTGATCGGTGAAAATGGTGTATGCCCGTATAATTCGCATGAATGTAATGGACCACTAAAACCCGCTACACAGTACAGGTTAGTTTATTGTTTTATTATTGAAAATGTTACATGACACTACTATGAATCAGTCATTGGTAAAAATGCATACTCTACAAGTCACCGTCTGGTGTTTCTATGTTATCGGGGTACTTAATGAAATTGTTAGAAATAAGCAGCAGTGTCAATCTACTAATTGAAACTTCAGTTTTTGCAGTAGAAACACTTTTTAAAACCCATTATATGGCAAATTACTGTACCAACTAGTGGAAAGGTAGTATTATCAGGGAGACGATTTCTTGGTGAATAACAACTGGGATCCAATTTCTGTGTAGAAATTTATCGTTTATAAAGTCTACTAACAGATTAAAGTTGAACTGCATCACTTCTAGTAACCGAATTTATTATCGATTTACTATCCGAAACACAACTTCACCATTGATCTAATACTCAGAGAAATGACGAAATTAACGGATGGCCGTCTGTAACCCCAGTAAATCTACAATACCACGATAAGTCCTCATACTGTGAAGAAACTGCTTACTAATTTGCACGAAGTTGTATATGAGTGATTTTCGGTTTCAGTCATAAGCAATAGCATTTAGTTAAACAAATTTCAGATTTAATAAGACCCGAAGATGCATAATTTACCCTAATGGTCTGCCCTTCAGTATGCGAAATGGTAATGAGGACATACGGTGGTGTCCGAAATCTGATACTGATACACGATGTACTATGAGCTAACCCCTCAATTGATTGCATGAACGAGAAAGTTTATTGGGCTATCGAATAAAATGCATAAATACTCATTTACATATGTACAACCCTACCCCTTGGGAAATCAATCCGTTTCTTAACCAGTGAGATGCACTTATCCATCAGGTCACTTCTTACTGCCATCGAATGACCTCATTGAGCTACTTCTGATTGGCTGACCATACCACCTTTCCCTCCTGAAAAATTAGTCCTGCTTTTTGAATTTTGCTGAGGGCGTTGATGGAAACGTCGTCTTCTTGATGATCTGCTCGCGGTCTGGCCATCAATTCTTCCGCGCTGGTCCTGATGCTCTAAGCTGACTGTATCAGTTAAATAATCTAGTGGGAAAATGGAACCATGGGATTTTTATCCGAATTTAGTCATCTATCGAGGATGTGGTTAACGTGTTGCGTCTGGCATTTACCTTAAAGATCAATTTTGTACATCTCGTTACCGACTTTTCTTACGATGACACCCGCTACTCGCACAGGCTCCCAATATCGAAAGTTCCTTAAATACACTGGTAACCCATTATTAAACTGACGACCAATTCTCTTCGCCTTGGGTTTATAATCTCGTCTTTTTTGTGGATGCATGCTATCTAATGAAGTCCAAATCTTTCTTCCGAACATTAACTCACTAAGAGAGGTAACGTTGGGTGAGACTGGATTCGGGGTTATTCTGTATACTCTCAGGAAATTCTGAATGACCTCCGTCGTGCCCTCCCCTCGCGACATGATGAGATCTCACTTGAATGTATCGCCAAGACGCTCAGTTTGGCCATTTGGCTGAGGATAGTAGGGTGGGGACAGAATGTGTGTGATCGCGTTCTTTAATCAGAAGTTCGATAAGATTTCCGACGTGAACTGAGATTCATTGTTTGTAACCAGTGTCTCTGGTGAACCATACTGCTCGATAAATCTATTCAGCGCTTTTATGGTTGAAGTTGATGGGGTCTTAGGCATTAAATGGATCACTGGTAATTTTGTAAATGAGTCGATGATAATATGAAGGCGTTGATCGTTTATTGGCCCGCTAAGATCAGCATGAACACAGAACCATGGATTTCCTGCACTTAGCCATAGGGATGGCTGTATTTTTGGTGAGAGTTTTGCGGCTTGTGCACATCGTGGATATTTCTTTACGATACCTTCAATGTCCTTATCCATCAGTGATTAATATACATAGTTGCGTGCTAGTGACGTCGCACGTTGAACCTAAGTGATGCTGTTTCAATACTCGGGATCTGAGTTTGGTTGGAATAATTAGATGTTCCTCAGACAATAGATAGATACTACTTGGTAATAGTCAACGCACCACGTCATCGGAAATACTCTATTAAAGCATCATCTCATGCTTATAGTTCCCTTTATCATTTTGAAGAGTGCAAGAACAAAGATCCAATCAGAATCACATGAATTCATTTTGTTTCGTCTGGCTTTCGTCAGCTGCTTACAACCCATGATATATAAGAGTACTACAAAATGGGTTTATACTACTTATATGAAAGAGTTGAGTTGGAAGTTATGTTGAAGACATATCAGTATAGCATATCAAGGGTGTAAATAAATTTAACAGACCGAATATAGTAAATGTATACGTTATGTAAAAGAACATTCTACAACATTAATTGTAACAAGAATCCAAACGGCCAGAAACAAGTGATCACATAATGAGTCAATGCTGATAGGAATGAGTAAGGCTCAGTTAATAAAATAAGGTTACTAATCTGAAAGACAGTCAAAATAAAAACTCAATGATGCAATAAATTCAAGAAAGGTGTTAGGTCCTTGATCTGTCGACCCACATTGTGCAGAGGATAACTTGTCTAATCTAGATTAAGACCTTGACGCGATAGGCTGACTGGCTTAAAATTGACTCTAGTACGCGTGAGTTCGAAGTGGGTTAGACAGACAAAAACCATCCTATCACTTGATTGGCTGACAAGCTTGCGAGTGAGAGAAGACAAGTCAACTGGAACACTTCTCGATATATTCCCAATTCTGATATGATTCCCGATTTCAGATCAGTGTAAAAAGACAGATGAATAAATAGATGAATAACCCGACCACAACGTACAATAATTAGGAAACTGGGGATTAGCGTAGAAAATCGAGTACAAAATAATACGTTTAAATTACAATAGCTTGGGAACAAAAAAGGCTATGGCAATGAATCATACATCAAACGAAGGCTTATGTTCTGTAGAATAGACTAAAACAAATGTTACTGTTTTACAAGCTTTGAATTAAATGAAATAACGTCCCGAAAAATAGCTTTCGTATTTTGTCAAGGCTTCTTGTTTCTCTGTTCACATAAATAGGGTATTTTAAAAGTGTTTTAAGATGCAACAAAGGAATATTTGTTACTAAGACAAGGAAAAATTAATAACTATTTTATTTTGGATACAAATCAAGTATTTGACGCTTGATAGCAACTTCTTTTTTATAGGGTAGAAAGGATGTGTACCATCGACAAATCGGACGAATTGATGAACGTTGTAAAATGACTAAGAGACAACTGCTACCCACAGACATTTATTGACAAATGTAAAAAACTGTTATATATGAATCTCAACTTCAAATGTGATGACGTCACAAGCACAATCAGCAAGAGGTTTAACACTGCATTAGCCAAAACTTACCCGGCAGCCAAACTACTTATCCTTTATAATACAATATGTTTAATAACCCAGACAAATGTCAACAAGCATACCCTTCATATTACCTCCAGTCGTGTTTCTAAATTTACGTCCACCTTTCAAAGCAGCTACATTGGCTGAACAGAAAACAGGGCATATCTTAGATTTTTTGAGTGTGTTCCAAAAAGCCTTAGAAGAAGAGAAAGAATTTAAATAAAACCAGAACAAACATGGATTCATAATAATGTGAATTCATTATATGTCGTGGTTTCTCATCAGCTGCTTACAACCATATATGTATTGAAAGTTTACATTGAGGTCATATATAGTGCGAAACAATTTACATAGATGAATAAAAAGAATTGGAATGACAATGGTTATCAATATTAACTACATATTTATGTTCAGGAACAGGTCAGTCATTTGGTATTGGAATCGAAAAACATAAGGGGCGGGTGATGCAATAATTAAGTGAGGTTCAGAGACAAATAAAATAAATTGTGTGATAATTTTAGAGGTTATGAAGGGTTTACATAAGACTCCTGGAATTAGGAAGATTAGTAAGGTGGGTTACGTAACAGTTAATAGGATTTGAAGAGATTACATAAGTGAAGTGAATTGAGTAAATAGAGATGTATGAGCGGAGAGGTAGTTTTAATGTACATAAAATAAGAATTCGGTAAGTGAAGACCACATAGCAAAATAAATACTAACAAAATAATGATAATAACAGAAATGATTTACCAGGGTAGTACACACATACATAAATCAGGTCTAAGTTTTTTTATCGCAATTGCTTCAGCGAAACGAAGAGACGCTGTGCTTCTTTGTCTGCCAATAATTTTGAAGGCTTGAGGAATATCAATGGTATGCCCGGTGTTAGGTAAATGCAGGGCTATTACACTGTTAACAGCTATTGCGCCTCTCAGTTTCAAGTTTTTTGAAACATGCTCGGAAATGCGAACCTGTACTCTCTCTTCCAATGTATGTGCTTTAACACGTTCATGTAAATTGGTAAATGCTTTTGGAGGTACTGAAAAAAGAGGGCCTGTCAATTTTCGTTTGTTTGAGCGAGCAGTTCGTTTCACATAACGTCGTCAGTCAGTCGCGGTCAAAAAGAGTTCGTACAATTACCTTTTTGTAACTTATTGAACATAAACTGTTGTAATTGAGATAAACTCCAGGTATTTTTGCGGTGAATCTGTCTTTGTAATATGATGTTTGAAGTTCGTATGATTTCAATATCTGAGAAATGGAATTTACTTCATGTTCCATAGTAAAATGTATATCGTTTTGTGCATTGTTAAATAGACTGAGTAGATTAATAGAATGCTTATGATTGTGGCAGATAAGAAATTTGTCATCAGTATATCTGTAGTAGAGTGTAGTTTCATCGATTTCGTGCTTAAGCTTCCTCTGTTCCAGGTTGACCATAAATATATCAGCCAGAATTGAACCCAGAGAGCTACCCATAGCTACTCCACCAATGGGGCGTTACAACACATTGTTGAATTGAAATTTTATGTTTTTGGTACACAGGAACTGTCTGAATACTTTGATTGCAAAATAAATGAGTTCAGGATGTTTACACATGATATCTGCCGTTTCTTCTAAAAAGATTTCTGTGAAGAGAGATGAGACA